TACTCTCAGATCTCGCCTTAGCACATTATGATCCTGAGAAAGAGATCATTCTAGCAACTGACGCAAGTTTGTACGGAGTGGGTGCTGCACTGCTACACAAATATGAAGATGGCACTACTAAACCGATCGCGCACGCGTCGAGGACTCTTCTTCCGGCTGAAAAAATTATAGCCAGATCGAGAAAGAGGCTTTGTCGATTGTGTTCGGGGTTAAAAAAAATATCATCGTTTTTTACATGGTAGATCATTTGTACTTCAAACGGACCATAAACCGTTACTTACAATATTTGGAGGTAAAAAAGACATTCCTACGCATACAGCTAATCGCTTACGGCGATGGGGTGTAACCCTGCTTAATTACCATTTTAGGATGGAATACGTCAAATCTAAAGAACATGGGCTTGCGGATGGATTGTCAAGGCTGATTCCAAAAAATGAAGAAATGTTAGAAGAGACGGTTATAGCAGCATTAACTGAGGAAAAAGAAATATCAGGTCTTTTGTTGAATACAATGAGGGAATTGCCGGTAACGCTGGACCAAATAAAAAAAGAAGCGGAAAAAGATCACTATATTGTGAAATTAAGGAACCAGACGAGATGGAACAAAAAACAGAAAAAGGGAACTCAGATTTCACCTTTTTCAATTTGCGACAACACGTTGATGTACGCAGATAGAATTGTTATACCTCAATCTCTACGTACAGATATGCTGAAAGAATTTCATACCGGTCATCCTGGAATGTCTCGGATGAAATCACTCATGCGTGGTTACGTATACTGGCCAGGAATGGACAAGGATATTGAAGGTTTTGTAAGACTATGTAGAGGTTGTCAATTGGCTGCAAGGGCACCTCCGGTCAAAATGAATCCTTGGCCGAAAACGGATTTGCCGTGGGCACGTCTACATATAGACTATGCTGGACCAATTAATGGGCACTATTATTTGATATTGGTGGACTCTTTATCGAAATGGCCTGAGGTAGTCAAGTGCAAGCATCCTACATCTAGGAACACCATCAGTGCATTGGATGAAATTTTCAGTCATTTCAGGGTTCCCAGAACATTGGTTAGCGACAATGGTACGGCGTTCACAAGTATGGAATTTAAGGATTTCTGTACTGCCTTAGACATTGAACACATAACTACACCAGTGTGTCATCCCAGGTCGAACGGTCAAGCCGAGAAATTTGTTGACACTTTTAAACGTGCTTTACGTAAAAATAAAGGTATGGACACGGAAGAAAGAACTATTCAAAAGTTTTTAGCAATCTATAGGGTAACTCCTAATGAGAACAACGATGCGAAAATGTCACCGGCGGAAATTATGTTCGCAAGGAAAATTAGATCAATTTTCGATAGATTGTTACCCTATCAAAACAAAAAAGTTGCTAAGAAAGAGGAAAAGTCAACATAAAAAAATACACTTCAGGAGACAAAATTTTTTTTTTAAATTTAAAAGTGGAAAAAGCTATTGGATGGATGGCATAATCCAGAAAAGGATTGGTAAAGTGGTCTACACGATTAAAAGTAAAAAATTTACGTGTAAAAGACACATCAATCAGATTAGACCACGATATGGTGAAGAAAGTGAAAAAAAGCGAAGAAGAAATTCCGATGGAAGTGTTATGCGATGCTTTTAACATGACACATTACCCAATAGTGTATTTGAACCTGTATCGCATGGACCAGCCTTACGGGCTGAAAAAAAGGTCGGAAATTATCTTCGCCAAAAAAGGATCTAATTGTGACGACTAAAATATCTTGAAGGAGCACACGGGAAAGAAAATTTTTTCAGTGGAGCGTTTTAGTCCGGATCCAAAAAGAAGATAATTTGATTAAAAGCAGAAATTTTCAAATTTTCTGACCAACGGGATCAAAATTTCAGCTTCGGGGGTTAGGTTGGATGCCCACGGCAATGCACTGTGATGAGATAGATAACCCAAATTCCCCATTCACGATAATGGACGGACTGGTTTATATTACTTTGATGTGAATGTTAAGCAAAAATAACTCTTTTTATAATCATTAAGTTGTTCTTTTTCTTCTGTGAGTTATCGTTATTGAATCGTCTGTTTTTTTTTTATTTAGGAGAATTAAATTTGGTTTTGTTGAAATGGTTTATCATAACGTTTACACGCTTTTTGTTACACCAAGTGCAATAATTTTAATAATTTAAAAATAAAATAATAATATTAAAATTTAAATAATTTTAATTTCCTAAAATATATGAAAATTCTAAGGGCTTAAATATGTTTTTCTACTTAATAGTTAAAGACCAGGAACTCTCGTTTCAGAAAGTAAACAAATAATGGATTCAAGAGAAGATATTTTAAATTGTGACAGGGATAGTGCAGGATGGACTGATAATCACCCTATTGACATTCTCATTATTATAATAAGCACTTATTATGCCATTAGCGTGAAGAAATTTCATTTGTATGGAACACCGTAATTTTCCTCGTTTTTCTGTATTCGAATAACAGATTTTTGAATAGAGAATTATATTTTGGGATGTATTACAGGCTCTGTTCCATGGGGAAAATTGCAGAATACTAAAAACGTTTCCAACTGATGTTATATTCTTAACGACCAATAATGAACTTATCACTAGAAACCGTTAATTTGATCGACACTTGACCTGGAACTGAAGAAATTCGGTCTGAAATATTTATTTAAATCATTATATTTATTGGAACTGAATTTCGTAAAAATCTGAGGAAGGTTTTAATTCTATTCGGTTTAGAAGAGATTTTGAAAAAAAATACCGTTATAATGTTTGATTATTCAAAATAAATCATTTAACCCATGACTTTAGTATCGAAAGTCTCAGTAAAAAGGTCACTTTCTCACAGATACATCCTTATATCTATGTACATATAGGCACACGCACATGAATATTGACTAAATTCAACATATACCTGAAGACACAGCATCACTTGCCGTATGACGTGATTTGTAGACAAGACAGGTTATTTAATTGCAGATGAAAAGTTTTTCTCTGAGGTATGAAATACTTGTCTTGCGGAAAGGTCTGCTTTTCATTCTCCTCGGTTTATTATTATATATTATTATCAATCTGTATTTTATAGCTGTTGGACAACAAATCATTTATCATTACACATGTTATAAAACACTTTAAAAGTATAAATACATGAATCGAGTTTAAAGAAAACTGGCTAATTGAACCTAGCTGTTGTCACTAATTTTATATGATAGGTATTAGCGAAACTCAGAAGAAAGGAGATATTTTTTTAAGAACAAGCAGCCATCTATTTTATTATGAGCTAAAGGAAAATAATAAGCTTGGTAGCCTAGAATTTTTAATCAACTGTGACAACATAGAAAGTTTCAACAATATATCCGTCAGACAGACTAGTTTAAAAAATATGCAAAAGATTATCGCTAAAATAATTGAAGTATATGGATCAATTAGTTAGGCTGGGGCAATTATGATATTAGTAGCGTGATAGACAAGAGAAAAGAAATTACACGATTTTGATGAGCGAATTCAATGCAAAAGTAGGAACAATCCAGTATTGTAATATTGCGAATATGGAAGAGAGATGAAAGAAGCGAAATGTTAGTTAAGACAAAATGACCTTTATGAATACGTATTTTCAAAAGCGAAGGCGTAAATAAAATTAGAAAAGCTCAAATACAGAAGCAAAATATGAAATTGACTTTATAATTACTGACAAGATCAAAACCATTAAATCAATCATTTAAAACTGGAAAATAGGTTTCTCAATTGCTCAGTTGCCACTCTTTTTAGAACTGATTGTGGTTTCCTCCCTAACTTTTTGCTTATAATCGCGTGGAACATCTAGATCATGGCATTATTTTCTCTTCGAGTTACGTGTGCTACTCATTCTAGTTGTTGATACTGTTAAAAATCTTCAAGTTATGTGACTTCTGTTATTTGATGAATTTCTTCGTTAGTGAGGCTAGTCTAAGAAATCCACTGATATATATATATATATATATATATATATATATAATACATTTGTCGCTGAAATTGTTCCCCTAGTATCGTTGGGTGACATGTTTAAGCATCAGTTTTCTTGACATGTAAAAATAACCCACCCACCTCTACTCTCTGACCTTATTTTTATATTTTAGCGTAGACCTGACGTTAATTGGTTAATCTAGACATACCCATAAGTATATTTTTAATTCTGACCTTATGCCCCACTTTAACTTACAAAAAAGGGTAAAGATTTGTTTTTTTAAATTTCCCTAATAAATCATCTACTATCGCCTGAAGAAGTACCATCATAGTACTGAAACATGAAAGTTTTTGTGTTGCGATGTAAAATATTTTTATTGTAATTTATTATAAGAAAATATTATATATATATATATATATATATATATATATCACATCCATAAAATGAATTCGTTTATTCGAAATTTAATCGCTTATAAAGAAAATGCCCGTAAAGTGACGTGTGATAACGGCTGATAAGTCTTTTGAATTTACTCTGTACATAAAATCAAACTGCGTAAACGTTAATAATTCCCGCAAATTATTGGCGTTGGTACAAAAAGTCTATCATTTACAGGCTTCACTTTCATGCTAAATCCGGTAAAAGATAAACCGAAAATAGATAAATAGCAATTTACGAAAATTTGTTTAGTCTGACACAAAGCCAAGTATAAAAATGGAAGTAGGAAAATTGTACTGCGTTAAGTAAGCAGGGTTTTGGTTTAAAAATCGCGGGGTGATGTACATCAAGATCAAAACAGAATTGTAAAATAAAATCTGTAATATTTAGGCATAAATGCGTCAACTGATGAATACGTTTAATAAACACACTGTCTTCCTTTGTACACAACATACACACGCACATGCACACACCTAATCTCATGCATAAAAACTGCAAATAGATAAACATAAAATCAGTCTTATGGGATTTATTTGAAATAATTGAAGTTTTGAAAGTTAGTTCAACATTAGAAAGATAAATTTGGGCGATATCACCCCCCCCCCAAAAAAAAATGATGCTAAAGAATGCGCCGCGTCGTCGTCCACAACATCAAACACTTCATGAGAAACCTATTCATATTGATTTGATCATCTTAGCCGCTGAGATTGTTGAATATTTTCTATTAAGAGAGTGTTCGAGCCCAAGATTGGAAGATTGGCGTGATTCACTCTTTCGAAATCCCATTCTACTTAAGTTTAGTCAATACCCACAACGCTAATATTAATAGTAACTGTCGATTCTCTTTATACTGGTTGAAATGTAGTATTGAACTAAAAATATGTTTATTGCATTGTTGAATTCTTATGAATTCTGCGGTTTATGCTTTCGCTAATTAAAACCGAAAAGCTTTCAATAACTTATTGAAAATACATTGAAAAAAAATACCCGACCTTACCAGATTTTGTGTATAACCTAATCTTCAAATAAGAAAAATGGCGTAAAAAATTCTTTAATTTAGCCTGTCCAAATAAAATTATAAATAAAAACGTAACTTGGTTTACTAAAATTAAAATTGTCGAAATTCACCATCTTGTATTTTTCTATGAATGACAAACATTTTCCTATCTGTCTATATTTCTGAGATGAGGTATTATGTACACTATTTACATTATTCGGACTATTGTCCTCATCTTTGTCGCCATATTTATTACAACGTTTCGGCCGTTGTACGCAAAGGCCGGGGCGTACAGCGGCCGAAACGTTGTAATAAATATGGCGACAAAGATGAGGACAATAGTCCGAATAATGTAAATAGTAAACATTTTCCTCTTTACATTTCCACATACAATAAAATTACAGAACGTCATTCTTTTGTTTTCATTTCAGCTTGGCAATCTATGTCTGCCTGATCGGCGTGAGCAAATGCATTTCAAATGATGCTATCGATGAGGTAAGTATTTTCATAATTATAAAGAGCCATCCATATTTCGTTAAGTTTACTCCACAAAACTGACACGAATGAAGATTTATTTAATTTATAGCAATGTTTCTTGCAAATTTAATCACAGAACGGAAAATGAAGGTTTGATAATAAATACAAACAAAATTCTAAATCCTTTACAATTTTGTTAATTCTTGGTATATTCGATCATAGAAAATAAATATATTTTACATCTAACTCAGAAATGATTGATTATCCTCGTGTGAATTTGTATGTAAATAAGTATCACTTGTAAAATTATTATTTTCCTTTTCATACGTGGAATTATGGAAACAAATTCCATTCAACATCATTAATTTACACTCGTAAAATGGTTTCCATACTTATTCAGTAACAAAATATGCATATAAGGTGTTAAGTATCATTTCAAAAAGCTTAATCGCTATTGTTAGCATATATGTACAGAATCACATGTGTCTATGTATTTATGATTGGTACCCAGACCTGAAAAGACAGCGATGATAAAAATAATTTGAAAAAGAAATTATTCACACAATAAATAAAAAAAACTGAAAATGTTAATTAAAATTTTTTTACGAACAATGGAATGAAGTTCGGTTTAAAGGAATGCGTTGTTTTAGTAACGCACCAAGGAACACTTGTAACGCTAAACGGAATTAAAACATAGGATAACAAAACGAGTGATTTAGCCATGAAAGAAAACTACAAATATCATGGATTACTTGAATGTGACCGAAAACAGGATGGAATAAATGAAATTATAGTAAACACGCACCTTAAGAAAATAAGAAAGGCACTAAATCTAAACAGTAGAGATTTAACAAGATCCATATTAATAATCTAGTGCATAGAAATCTTCCCATGTTTCACAAGAGACCTGAGATCTATGGATTGATGAACTAGGAAATAAAGATTATTCACAAGGTTCCATAAATGATACCTGTAGAGACTATATGTAAAATTAATAGGAAGGAGAAGAGGGCTTATCAACATCAAGGATTTGGTTCAAGCAACTAAAATAAGATTTGTAAAATATGTGAAAAATCTCCATGAGGAGGTAAAAAAAAAATTCACTTACAATGATGGACACTCTTTGCTATCAAAGTGCAGAAAAACAATGCACAATCATTAGTATTGAAGATAAAATAAAACAGAAAAAACAGCAATTATGTCCTCTAGGGAAAAAAAAACGGAAGAAATCAACCACATACGAAGTGAATACACTAAGATGGCTCAGAAGGAGTATAAAAAGAGGCATGATAGAATAAAGACAGTCCTTATACGGGGAATTGTGAAATCGCCTTGACTTTAACCATATAAACATATATATATATATATATATATATATATATATATATATATATATATATATATATAAGTATAAGTGCGCAGGTATGCAGAAAATAGAAAAGAACACGTTGGGTGCATAATCCGAAGTTCCTTAGTATTTTTGTTTTTATTTTAAGAAGAAAGTGCTCCATACATAAGTAGAGCTTTATTATAATATTTTTTTGTTTAAAAATATGATTCCTTCGCTACATAAGAGTTCTCATGTTTCAAAATCGAGAGCCGAAACATCCAAGAATTATTAAAATTAAGTTGAATTGAGGTGTTTAGTCTCGTTTCATCTTCAAGCGAAATTTTAGGAATAAGCTATCTCTTGGTTTACGTGTGTTTTTAGGCATGGTTCGTCCTAACATTCGTTATTGTGGGAGTGGCTACGCTAGTTTTCTTCGTTAAGTGGTCAGAGAGTTAATTCTTATCTATAGATTCATCATCTTCTGAGAAGTTTTGCTAAGGTTGGGTAGGGTATCTATTTCAAGGCTAATGTTAGCGGTCATCCTTTAGTTGGTTCCCAGTGAGGGATATTTTTATGGCGCGCCTACAAGTCGTTATGTGTCGGGAGGATTGTGTTTTATTATTGTCCATCTGATTATCTATTTATTTATTTGTTTATTCAAGTGGGTGTTTTATATACAAACCGTATTGCACTGAATTTCAATTTGTTGTTTTTTGTTTTTTGACGACTACAGAAAGGGTTTTTCCTATTTAATGATTTGCTTTTAAGCTTTTAAGACTTTTATTAAGCTATGGGATTTTTTTTATACTAATTATTTAATGCGAAAGTTTGTTGATGTCGGCAAAAACCGTTAACTCCTGCCTATGGTTTAATAATTTTTCATTATTTAGAAATTTAATGATGTGTAGTTTTTCGTGTAGGCATAAAGGGCATGGGTCATCCCAGGTTTTACAAGTTCTTGTTTTCTTTACTATTTTCCATTTTACTTTTGGTGTTTTATTTGCTTCTTTTAGATGCCAGAGATATTGGGATAGAGATGTCTGATTTCTATTTTGAATATTGTTGAAGGAGCTCTTGTGTTGCCTCCATCTAATTTTAAAATTATTCTTCGTTGAGCCTATGTATATCCTATCAGTGTTAGGACTCTCAATGGATGAGATAGTGCATTGGTATACCACGGATTTTGCGAGGCATTTATTTTCCAACGGGCAGTTTTTAGGGTTTCTACAGTCACATACTTTTTCGTTATTTTTATCTAATGTTAGTTTATTAGTTTTATTACTGTTTTGGCATGCGTGTTTTTCTAGGATTTTCTTATGTCTTTTTATGATTCTTTCTAGATTTTCAGTGCAGCTGTAACTCAATTTTAAGGTGTTTTTGTTAAAGATCTTGCTAAGTTTGCTATTAGTGGGAAAGTGCTTTTCAATTAAAGCTAGGAACTTATGGCCTAGTTTGGTGCTGATCATTTGGTTGTACAGAGGGGTATACCAGATGATCTTTCTTTTCCTGTTTTTTTTATTATTGGTACTATCGTTTCTATAGGTTATGTCAGCGTTTTTGTATCCGCTGTTTTTCAGGCCTGTGTTATAAAAATACCCGCCAAACATATTGTGTGAACATGCAAATGCGTCTTATAATAATAATAGTAATAATAAATATCCAATCAAGAGATATCGAGATTTATATTTAGTAGATTCTGTAGAAAACCAAAACAGAACCCAAGAACCAACTGTTGTAGCAAAAATTATAAAAAGAAAGCCAAGGATAAAACTCTTGAACAGATGAAACAACGCCGGCAAGACAAAACTGTGTATGGCCTATATGCAGAACGTGCTAATAAAGCTGATGTTGATATAGTTAACCCTCAATGATGGTTACGAGCATCGAGATTAAAGGCTGAAACGGAAGGCTTTATTCTTGCAGAGCAAGATCAATCTTTTTACTAGAAACTTTCAGGCGAATATCATATATAATAGAGAGTATCCAAAATGTAGGCCCTCTGACAAATATCAGGAAACCATAGACCATCTAATCTCAGGATGTTTTGTACTTGCGCCAAATGAATATAAAAATCGTGACGATAGAATGGGGGAATACTTATACTGGATAATGAGCAAACAATTGGTAAACACTGGTATGAAAATCACCCATCACCAGTTACAAAAATAGAAGACATCACAATTCTATGGGATTACACCATCTTTACAGACGGTAAGATTGAAGCAAATAGGCCGGATATAATTGTCAAAAACTGAAAAGAAAAAACCTGCCTACTAATTGATAACATAGACCAACGAGTGCCATTAATCAATAAAATCTTGTAAAACCTTTAAAGACATTTAATTCAGTTGACATTTCTATTCGTCATCATTGATATTTTAAAAAATCTGTCGATACAAATTAGATTTTCTATGAAATTGTAGTTGCTGACAAAAAGTGGACTTAGTATCAACTATTTATTTCGCTTTTCTTATTCTTATTACTGCCTTAAAACGTTTTATCATTCTCGAAGAAATTATAGAGACAAGAAAATCCACTTCTTCCGTCTCGTTTGAAATTAACAGCTGAGAGATTTCAGCTTAAATGTCTCTTATTCTCTCCTACTTTCCAGTTTTCTTAGACATTACTAGAAAATTATTTACAGTCTAAGGTAACTATTGATAGTATAAATAAAACAACATAGTCTGCTATGTTTCAAATATAGATAGATTTCTAAAATAGTGTATCTATGGATCTTTTGAAATGAAGTCAAAATATTTAATCTCTAATATGAATATATTAGTAAAAATATCAGATCCATATTTTTTCATAGCTCATGATTAAGTGTTTAAATACCGTGTTGTAAACGTGTTCAGATCTTAGTCAGAATTTCGAATTAGTCACTTTCAAGTACTGAAGAGGTAGATACCTTGCAAGAAATGTATTATTTCCTGAGTTTTCTTACTCTAACAGTACATCAAATAGTGATTCAAGACAAGTTGCAGATGAAGAACAAAGCTATGAAACCATTGGTTATTTTGGTGCAGCTGCCGAGATATTACTCCCCATAAAGATATTATTTTAAGTGGTTAACGCATGTTAAAACAATGTTTTTTGCCAATTTTTTCTTGGTTATGATTGATATTTAGCAAGTGCGTATAATCTGGAGGTTTGTCACTTTCCAGGGAGCATTAAACAGAATTCTTTTTTACTTCGTCCTTTCAGCACACATCAATCAGTTCAGTTCTCCGACAACATCTCCATTAAATTGCTGAGACACAGAAAAATTAAGCACATTCCGGAGAAATTTTATTTTTACCATTCCATAAATGGTGGCTGTCTTTAAACTAAGTACAGAGCTCATTCAATTTGTTTTTCTCTTTTATCATTATTGAATGCGAAGAAAACTTTATTGTTTGATTATACTGTGACACCTTGTATTCAATCAGAATATCCAAATCAACCATTCAAATTATTTATACCAGCTTGATTATGTTAATCGCATTAATATGTGGCTTCTGTATAAGCCACACTTAAAATATATTTTATTATACTTAAATGTTTCATTTTTGAAATAAACTGTGATGGCCATGAAAAAGCGGATCATGCAGTAAAAGTGAAATAAATCCCAAAATTGAACGTGTGTGCCAAAGCTGGCTTTAATCTGCAAATCGTGATTATGTGTATATATTGTGACTGGAAGTGAAGC